ATGTGACCACGTGTTGTATATGTGACCACGTGTTGTATATGTGACCACATGTTGTATATGTGACCACGTATTGTATATGTGACCAAGTGTTGTATATGTGACCACGTATTGTATATGTGACCACATGTTGTATATGTGACTACGGATTGTATATGTGACCACGTGTTGTATATGTGACCACGTATTGTAAATGTGACCACGTATTGTATATGTGACCATGTGTTGTATATGTGACCACATGTTGTATATGTGACCACGTATTGTATATGTGACCACGTAATGTAGATGTGGCCACATGTTGTACATGTGGCCACATGTTGGTTATGTGACCACGTATTGTATATGTGACCATGTGTTGTATATGTGACCACATGTTGTATATGTGACTACGTATTGTAAATGTGACCACGTATTGTATATGTGACCACATGTTGTATATGTGGCCTCATGTTGTATATGTGACCACGTATTGTATATGTGACCACGGATTGTATATGTGACCACGTGTTGTATATGTGATCACGTATTGTATATGTGACCACGTATTGTATATGTGGCCACATGTTGTATATGTAGCCACATGTTGTATATGTGACCACATATTGTATATGTGACTACGGATTGTATATGTGACCATGTGTTGTATATATGACCACATGTTGTATATGTGACCACGTATTGTATATGTGACCATGTATATGTAAAATTTAGACCACATTGATAACAATAACCGGATTGCAAGACAATTGTTGTGGATGGAAACAATTATAACATAAAAGCACAAAGATGTAATCCAGTATTGGTTAAAAACGATTACAGGCAAATATCTCATGCGCTGTTATGACAGAGATAGATTATTGCAGTGTCTACTATTTTATTATTTCTATTTTTACAATGAAATGCTCATTAGATAAACTGTTTCTCTTACCTGTACCTCAGGTCCACATTCCAAAATAGGTAGGAGATCGGTTACAGATGAGCATGTATGTGAGAACCACGCAAATATTAGCACATGCGCATGAAACACTTGCGGTAAAGACATATTACGTACAGAAAACATTTTTGTCCAGTTGTAACAACAAAAATATTCCAAATCCTTGTTTTTATGTTAATGAAAGTAATATCACAGCAACTTTTAACGACACCAGAAGAGTACTTATGAAGAACATACTACTACTCAAAAACGCTTTACAATAAGTGCGTCCGCTACACTACCGATGTGTCAAGTGGTGAGTACAAAGCACGCTCCGATGTAGCACGTTACAGCTCTTATTGTTTACGTACATGTGTCCGCTACGTTTGCAAGGATATTGTGCCAGTTTCCGTATCACTACTGACACAGTCGATAAACCGCTGGTAAACACGTAAACAAAACTCAGCAATTAAAAGCATACCCATGGGGTTAATGGTTTATAATCAACACATTCATACAAGATAATTATCACTTTATAATTATTCAACATACATGCATGCATCGCGTACTTCCTGTTCGCATTGACTTCCAACGTCTAAAGACAAGACAAGGTCGGTTATGGCACGATTTCACTTGTAACGACACAGTGATAACTCACGCGTTATTGACATATGCATTATTAAATAACACAGTTATGTTAAGTCCGGTATCAATTCGTACCATATCTTGTAAACAAATCATCTATGAATATTAGAGTTAAATAAATAAAGGTATTCAATCTGAGAAATCAAGAAAATATTGTAAGTTTTAAAAATCCATACACTCCATTATATATTTATGTGATTTAAGGTAGCATTGCATAGATTAAGGGGGAAAATACTCGAAAGAATGCATGGCTGTAACTGACGTTTTTAAATCGAGACTCAAAATGAGTTAACGGCTCTTGATATTATGCTAGTATCGGTAGGGCCATATTAAATGTAGTTTCGTAGCTTATTCTTGATGCATATAGCCGTCTAAACGTCATGTGAGCAATCGAAACTATAAACGCCACTTTGCAATACCGCGTAGTAATGTGGAAACATGGAAACTAAAAACAAGTGTAACTTTATTTTTAAACGAAGAAAGTATTTTAGATGCTGTCAGTTGATTTCATCAACTGAACTAACTATAAGGTATTCCGTTTTGGGTTACCGGAAAACTAAAACTTTCAAATGAACCGGACTCAACTAAACGAGCTCTGTAAAAAGACACGCACGCTGGTGATACCCTAGAAATACATTAAAAAGTGTTCCAATTCGGGTAGCCCACATTTTCAGTCCAATTTTATATCATTCACGTGAAATTTATTAGTTTTCTTCTACCTCAGTATCACCCTATATTTGTATATACTTCATACACTTTATTGCATTCCAATACATACTTTTGAAGTGAAATCCCTCACGCATCTAACAACAGAACAAGGATAACACCCGAGATGATCCGATAAGATTAAATGTCAAAGCCTCCCGAACAAATTAGTAAATTGAGTTAAAAGATCGTATCGATGCAATGGCGTCATGGATCGTTATCGGTAAACGCTTGAAAAGTTCACTGATAGATATATTTTTAATTCATACTATGCTCATTAATAAAAAATAAAGTTCATTGATAATAAAATGTCAATGTTTTGTACACTTTTCCTGGTAATTTGATCGATTTTTCTTTGCCACACATGATCATTCAATAGTGCTATGTTACTGCATCTCGTGACACCATCGACGCGTATCGTGTAATTCTCCGCTAGCTCAAGGAATGTAATTCAAAACACGATCAGTATCATCCGAATATATGATGCAGTGCAATTCATTTTTGGCAAGCTGTATCTATTACTATATCTTAAAGGTGCTATCGCTCACGTACGTTCTCTGCACCCCCGAAATATGTCATAGCAAAATCGAAGGCTCAGTGTGCACCTTCCAGAAGAAGAAGAATTTGATCCTTTTGTTGAACATAAAAAGAATCTCGCGGTCGCGTAATGGTAAAAATGTAAAAGTCGGAAGTAAGCATTTTGAGAATTTTGTGCAGTTTAAGCGTTGATGTGTATCGTTTTGGAAGAAAAAAGGCCTTTGATACACCTTCTTAAATGACTATTCAAATTCGTTCTAGATGCATACATAGTTTACATTCAATAGTTAGTCGCCAAACTAAAATAGTTCTGTTAGCCAGGCAGTTTTCACTGTCAAATAAAAATATCTGTAAAATTCAGTAGGAAATACATTTATTTAGAAGAGTTTGTTAAAGTATTAAGCTATTGTTTTCATTTCGAAAACAAATATCTTTGTCGTCATTCGGAAATCTTTGTTCAGTACCTTATGTATCGCCCTGAAACAAGTTTTCATGATAAATTTCTTTTAATGATAGCTATTTTCATATTTTACGCGTTACCAGACAGAAATGTCGAACAATTGTTCATCGTTTACCCAGTTTGAAATATATACATTTATTACTAGTAGCTGATTTACCCCTTCCCGATTCGGAGCCCTGAAACACCATTTTAGATCAAGCTTCTATTAAGGTGTGCTTTTTACATTAAAGAACATAAGACATAGTTGCACCCCTTAAGGGATGCGGGTTCGATTAAAGTCAATGTACTGTGTTGTATCTTTGAGCAAGATACTTTACTCCGCTTGTTCCAGTCTCATTAGCTGTAAATGAGTACGTGGTTGGGCAGTACTAGAATTGTAGAATGCTAGCTGTTAGCGCCGAATTGGCAGCTCCGGCTGTATACTCCTCAGGGAGTTGAGAAATGTATTGGCTGGTTGCACACGGATAATAATTTGTGAACCGCTTTCAGACGACCTACGAACTAGGATGTGATAAAGCGGTATATAAGAACCTCCAATTATTATTATTATTATTGAAATAAATGAGAAAATAAGGAAATCAATTGGGCTAAAAACAGCATCAAAAGTAAAAAAAAACGTTGGCCTGTTTTTTTAGCCTTTTTATTATGTTTGCATTGCTGCTGAAATATTTATCCGATACTGCGGCAAGGCCCTGAAGGTGACAGAAGTATCGTTGTCTGTGTTATGACAGTGTCGATTGGCGTCACAAAATTGAACCGATCTCATCCATGCTTCATTTCCCTCCTACTTGAAGGCCACTCCAAGTTTGTATTCCACAGTAGTGATATCACCAATACCTCCCGGACTTTTCGTAATTGACCTTGTCTATGCTCATGCTACAGTTTTATAGCAGTGTTTTAAGGGATGGTGTCAATATATTTGATTGCACATATTTTTTTATTTTTTTTGCGATTAGGACAATGACATCCCGAAATCCAAGGGTTCAGCTGATTCAATACACGTATCTTATATCCACCGTTGAAATATGTCATGACAAAATTAAAGGCTCGCGGTAAGCTGATTGATTGGTTTCAGGTACAAACACTTGACCAACCGCTGACCTTTGAAGATTACTGTGGAGCTACACCCAATTTCAAAGCCTGTCGATTTTACCTTTATGCTGCCGGGTCATTCCTTTTTATCTTCATGAAAGACATCCAAGTAGTCTACTTACCAGCTGTTATCATCAACGGGGTGCCACGGAAAGAGTCTTCGATTTGTCATGAACCATTCAATGACTAAAGAGAAGATACGTGTATCGAGAGCAGAACCCATTTATTTCGAGGATGGTTTAACGAAATACTGCCCTTTTTTAGTACAAAAGAGCTTCAGTTAACAGATAAATGTATATATACTGCATCTAACTCAAGGGCCTGAGGATTTGAACATAATTTCACAAAGGTATGTAAAACATAGCCACAGCATGCTATATTATAGCAACATTATACACATGTAACAATTTATTATACAAGGACAATAAACACTTAGCATGAAGTGCATTCTATAAGTGTATTTATCCCAACGACTCATTAATCTTGCAATACTTTCAAATATCTGTATATAAAAAGTGACCTTTCGACAGCGGACATGCCCCGGGTATCCGATAACACATAACTACTACCAATACATACGATACAACAACAATGGCGTCCATTTACAATTCCTATTGTTTAAACTGATACAGGAACCACATTCTTGTGCCAGACACTTTACCAGTTTTACTCTCTCCGGGTTCAGGAAGCCAAGGGTTACAAAACAGTACGATCCGGTACGATCTGGTGTACCGTCGTCTCGGATCGTAAGCCTTGGAAAGCGAAAATGGTGAAAAATAGACCAGATTTATCCATCTGCATGTCGTAAGATTCAGGGGCGACCTGTGTGGTACCTCCTGCATACTCGTAGGTTTTTATCAAATGCGTAAGAAGACGGGCACCTAGGAAGACAAGATATATATATCCCAATGGCTGCAATAGGGACAACAGATCACTTTGGTTTCTCCAATGTTCCCTTAGCAGGAGACACAGAAGGAAGTACCTGACCAGCAAGGGGTCCCAGATTAATCGTCTGTTACGTTGCATTTGCGTAAAACCGGCCTTTACCTGAGCCTGCAAACAAGGGACCTCTAACGTATACCTCCTATTTCCAATTTGCGATGCATTCCTCAGTATCTGTCTTCATAGAAATATGTCCGGGACGTCACAATCTCGACGGTGGAGCTTGACGTCATTGGCTATCTTCCTGAAGATGTTTAATCTTCACTTAATTTCTTCTTTTTTGGAACAGTTACACAGAATAAAATGAAGACGTGATGTTTTTAATTGATAAAGTTTGTTCGAATCATAATGCAAATACTAATGTTTCAGACATTAGTTCTCATTGATGGCAGCAATATTTGTCATCTTTGTTTTCATATGTTTAAATTTGAAAAAAGACAATTATTTTTTCATTACTGAAACACTTGATTGTATCATTTTGATATATCCCGTTTTAGAGAAAAGAAAAAAAAAAGATTGCTGTAGAAACTGTAAGGATTTACTACTTTTGCTGTAATTTGAATGTCACAGTCGGATCCTTTTCTTTTCAGTAATTATCTGCCTACTCTATTAACTTATTGGTCCAGTATAATTCAAAACAATAGAATTATTCATCGTTAAACATTTATATATGAAAATAATTCAATATAAATTAAAATATTGATAAAAGGCAAGAAATCATAATAAAGCTTCCCCCTACATTTATATAGCAGATTGTTTATAGGTTATAGGACTCTATATATATCCATATATGCTTATGCATGAAATACAATTGAAAACATACATAAAGAGTGAAGGAGTGTTACAATAAAAACACCTACATATAATACACAATTTTATTCTAAATGGATTTACTTGTATACTATGTATACATGTTTATACACATTTCATATCCTGATATTAAAAAAATAGCTGACTTATTTACAATATATATCTATACAATTTTTA